GTACCCGCAGCCGCCCGGCTTCACCGTCAACGGCATGCTGGGCGCCGCGCAGCCCGCCCTGCACCACCACGGCCTGCGCGACGCCCACGACGAGGCTCCCGGGCCGCCCGCGCCGCCTCACCACGGTGCCGAGCACCCGCACGGGCCGCACCCCGCGGGCGGAGGAGGGCCGGGGGCCGGCGGAGCGGCGGCGGCGGGAGGGCCGCACCACGAGGCGCACTCGGACGAGGACACGCCGACCTCGGACGACCTGGAGCAGTTCGCCAAGCAGTTCAAGCAACGGCGGATAAAGCTGGGATTTACCCAAGCGGACGTGGGGCTGGCGCTGGGCACGCTGTACGGCAACGTCTTCTCGCAGACCACCATCTGCCGCTTCGAGGCCCTGCAGCTCAGCTTCAAGAACATGTGCAAGCTGAAGCCTTTGTTGAACAAGTGGTTGGAGGAGGCGGACTCCTCCTCGGGCAGCCCCACCAGCATAGACAAGATCGCGGCGCAGGGCCGCAAGCGGAAAAAGCGCACCTCCATCGAGGTGAGCGTCAAGGGCGCGCTGGAGAGCCACTTCCTCAAGTGCCCCAAGCCCTCGGCGCAGGAGATCACCTCGCTGGCGGACAGCCTTCAGTTGGAGAAGGAGGTGGTGAGAGTGTGGTTTTGTAACAGGAGACAGAAGGAGAAGCGCATGACGCCGCCCGGGGGGACGCTGCCGGGCGCCGAGGACGTGTACGGGCCCAGCAGGGACACGCCGCCGCACCATGGGGTGCAGACCCCCGTGCAGTGACCTGGGCGCCCTCCCCCCACCCCTACTCCTCCTCCTCCTTCCCCCCGCCTTTCCGGCGTCCTCCTTTCGGTGTTGGGGTTGTTTTTTGTTTTTGTTTTTGTTTTTCTTTGTTTTTATTTTTCTCCTCTCTTTCAAAAAAAAAAAAAAAATCGAGAAAAAAAAAAAAAGAAAGATAAATAGGGAAAAAAATTAACAAAACAAAACAAACAAACAAAAAGCGAGCAGAAAAGCGAACGCGAATCCAAGCAGACAGAAAGCTCCGGTCGGGCGGCGGGTGCGGGCTGTGGCCGGGCCTTGAGGAGTGAGTACTGCGCCGGCCGGGCCGGGGGCGGCGGTGCTGGCGGGAGCGCGGCTGTGGGCATCCGCCCGTCGGGATGTGAGCAGGGAAAGGAAGGAGCCCTTGTCCCAGGCAGTATTGAAACGTAGTCATTTGCACTGCGAGGATATCGAAGTTTACAGAAATTCAGTGGTTTTCTTGCCCTCTTGACCCGATGTGGGGGATGAGGAGTACGTATATCGGTGTGTGTGTGTGCCGCCCGCACGCAGGCGTATGTATGTAGGATGTGCACACGGCCGTGCGGCGGAGCGGCTCCGGACCGTCCGCGGGGGCAGCGAGAGCGGGGCGAAGGGACGAAGCAAACTTCGTTTTCCGGCAGTGCGCGGCCGCGGAAGGGACCGCGGCCCCGGCGAGAGGCTGCAGGGCCGGGAGGAAACACCTCGCGCCGCAGGGGCCGCCCCGAGAGAAGTACGGGGACGTTCGGGTCCCCCCTGCCACAGCCCTCCGCCTCGGCCCCCCCTCGCCTCCCCCCGGAGCGGCTCTACTCGCAGCCCGCGCTCCTTTCACCTTTGCTTCCCGTATTTATTATTTTTCCTTCCCCCTCCCCCCCCACCCTCCCCACTCTACCCCCTTTCCCCCATCCCCGGTCGGTTCGCAGCGTCATGTACGGAACGAAAGGAGCAGCTCCGCTCGGGCAGCCCTGTGTCTTTCACCGGGGAAAGGAGAGGGGGAGGGGGGGGGAGAAGGGTGAAATGAAGTGGAAAAAATGCCACTTTCAATTCGCTTCCCCCCTCCTCCCCCCACACCTCTCCCCAGTAACAGTTTTAAAGTGCATTTCGTGGCATTATCCTGATGGGAAACGGTTAACTTCCAAAAAGAGAAACAGAGAGAGAGAGAGAGAGAGAGAGAGGAACCCAGGGGGACGCAGCACACGACACAAAGCTCCGAGGAGAGGCGCGGAGCGGGCTGGGAGCAGCGCCGTGTGTGTGCTGCGCACCGCCATCCATAGACATGAGGGGAACTCTAAACTCCGGTAGTTACACGTTCATAACGGGGCCCTTTAGACGGGTGCTACATAGGCGAGGCGTTTTTGTAAGCTAAAAGTTTACTTAGATGAGTGTTGGACGGTGATGGAGAAAAAAACAATGAAGCGTTCTCTTGCAGAGATCATATAAATATTGCATTCAGCAGCCGAGGCGTTAGACCATGTTTCCCATTGTCTCTTCAAGCGCTGTGACATTTGTTTTTCTTTCTTCCTTCCTCCTTCCCTTTTTTCCCCCTTGGTCAGACAGTGATGGGTATCGAAGCGACGCACACTGAAGCCTTTTTCCCACTTTCCCAACGATGGTTACAGAGATGCGGGCACCGAGCTTTACTCTTTCCTTTCCTTTTCTTTTGGCCGTACCGAGCTGCTGGTTATTTATCGTGCTGGGGACTGGTGACTCCGAGCAGGGCCGGCCCGTGGCGCGGGGAGGACCCAACTTTCAGACCCACCGATCCGTGTGTAAGGTCAGAGAACGGCAACCAGGGCTGTTTGGGAAAAGCCTCAAACTCCACATAGGTTTACTTACAAAAAAAAGAAAAGAAAAAAAAAAAAGAAAGAAAAAAGAAAAAAAAAGAAAAAAAAAGTTACCACGCAAACCTTACCGCTCTGTATATATGTTTAATATTTGTCCTTCGAAATGCAGAAATAGTTTCAATGTTTTCTTTGTCTATTTTTCTTTTTTTTTTTTTTTTTTTAAATGCTACCCAGGGAAATATTTTCATATCATTTTTAAGTGGCCTGCCTCAATGTATATTTATTTCTTTGAAAGCGAACAGGTTCTGGAAACTGTTTTTCTGTAGCTTTAAATGAGTAGGTGAACAAATCTATATGGGATGTAATTTTTTTTTTTTTTTCGGTCTCTTTACAAATACTTTGTTTTGGTACATTTGGATGTGCTTGTGGGGAAAAAAATAAAAACGCAGAGATCCTTATATATTTATGTTAAAGTAATATTTTATTATCTACATAAAACAGAAATGCACAATACCTTCATAGTTTGTTCGAATTATTGAAATCCCTTTTGTTTTATTTTGAAAGATAGCACAGATTGGCGTAGCTCTGAAATCGGGAGGGAGAACACCGCAGCGCTGTTAGCTCTGTGCGAGCACCGCCAGCCCTTTATAGGGCACGGAATTGGGGAAGCGGTTCCGTGGCCGCACCGAGCGCTGCCCTGTTCCAAGGGCGCGGGTTGCGGGAACGGAGCACGGGGGTTGCGTTCCCCGCAGAGCCCCGCAGCGGCGCGGGCAGAGCGATGATGCTGTGCGGAGCGGTGCCGTCCTTCTCCGGCGCTGACATCCCGCTCCGACGCGCTGCGGTGCTGGAGGAGGGCCGGGCCCGAGGCGAGAGGGCTCCGCTCTGCGCGGCCTTGGCAGAACGCAACACCCGACTCTCCTCCCCCGTGCCAAAGGAAGAAAAAAAAAAAAAAAAAAAAAAAAAAGAGAAAAAAAAAAGAGAGAGAAAAGGAAAGAAAGGGAGAAAAGGAGAAAAGAGAAAGAAAAGAGGAAAGGAAAGGAAAGGCGGAGCTTCTCCGTGGGGAGCGCCGCTGAGGCCGGGCCGCCGGGCCGGAGCGGGGCGGCTGCGTGATCCGGGGCCGGGTACCGGGTATTGGGACCGTGCCGGTGGGTGCCGGCGGCAGCGGCAGCGTGTGGAGGAAGTGCTAGGGCCTTTGGGGCTCTGCTCTGCTTCGTAGGGCAAACGTGCTGTTCTCTCTCCCCCTTCCCGAGAGTTTCTCGGCTTATTAGATTTAATCATCTTTTCTAACTCCTAGTCAATATTACACTCATCCCGAACAGATTCAGCTAAATGATCTTATCAATAGTTTCGAAGCGAAGTGACAGAAAGAAGAAGTGTTTTGTGACCGCAGACGTGCTGACGGGTAAAATGTTTAAGCCGGGTATGGATTTGAAGTCCTTGGTCAATATCCCGCCGGGTCGGCTGCGGAACGCGGGCAGCCTCTGCCCTCTGCAGGACGCTTCGGGGGGCTCGGAGGGAGCCGTGCGTCTTTCCCAACGCTCACGTGTGGGGCGGGAAGGGGCTCGGTCAGCCCTGGGCGCGGGGCAGGCCCGAGGCCGCGGGGATGGACACGGGGTGGCCGCTTTGGTGCCCGCCGGGCTGCTCCGTGCCCAGCTCGGCGTGTGCTGCCAAAAGGGAGGCCGGCCCGTGAGGTTGCTTCCCTCTGCTTGATCTGAGGGAAAGAGAAGAGGGAAGAACCCACGGAGTGGTGGTGGTAGAGTGTGCTGTCTGCAGGTGGATGTCAAGGTGCGCGCAGCGAGCTAGGCTGGGCCACAGCCGTTCTGTTAGATGTCGGCAAGAAGAGCACTGGCTCCTCGCCTCGATTGCTCGAGTAGAGGCTGAATCGGTGTCCCGAAGCCCGTGAAGGAGCTCACGGCCCGGCCGGTAGCTCCCCGGGCCGGGCGGTGCTCTGCGCTGCCCTCGGCGGCTCCGCAGAGCCCCGAAGGGGAGAGAGGCCGCTGCAGGGCCGCCCCTTCTCCTCGCTCTCGGTTTCTGCTTGCGGATGCTGAGGCCGAGCCCTCGCACCTCTCCGCTGAGGCAGCCTCAGTCTGTGGCCATCCTCACCCTCCTCCAGCCCCAGAAGTTGGCCCAAGCCACGCTGGGGGTGGGGGTTTATGGCTCTTTGTTGCGGCTGGGTTTGCGCGGGGCTGCGTGCTGCGGGAGGGCAGCGCCCGGCCACCCTCGGGCACGGGGCTGTGACCTGGAGCTGCTGCCCCCGGCCCGGCCCACGCGTGGGAAAGAGCCGCGGGTAGCAGCGGGGCGCGATGGCAGCCACTCGGACTCCGGGATGGGGCCTGGAGAACGCGGCCCTCCGCCACCCCTCTGCCTGAGAGTGATTCGTTTCTGGTGTATTTGGGAATCGGACTGTGAGAGGCTCTGCTGCCGCTCCGGGCCCGATGCGAAAGGGAATAGAAAATACGTTCGGAGGTGCGGGTGCTGTGCGGCTGCCGTCGGGGCTGGGAGATGCTCCGAGCAGCTCAGCGTTAAGTCGCTCTCGGCCGGGCAGCTTTGCGCTTGGCCGCACTTTGAGGAGCGGGTGCCGTTCCGGGGAGAACGAGCTGAAGCAAAAAGGCAAAGCGTGGTTCAGCAGAAACAGTAAAATTAACAAAAGAACTTCCCAAACGCGAGACGCCAGGAAGGAGCCGGTTCTGCCCGAGCCGCGCAGCCCCGCAGCCCCGCAGCCCCGCGCCCTCCCGGAGCAGCCCCGGCGGGAGGCGGAGAGAGGCTCCCTCCGAAAGTCGGGGGCCGCTTTCGGCCCGACTCATTCATTAATTCCCCTTCCCTCCCCGATTCATTCATGTCTGCAGTCATTCATTGCCAAGTGTGCGGAGCCATCGGCCCCTCGGTCAGTAGGGGAGAGGCGCGCACGAGGATGGGGCTATTTATTTCCCTCCGCCTGCGGATTTCTAAGACATCCGAGCAGGCACAATCATTAAACTAATTTGTATTTGATTGTTTGGGCGGACGGGGGTGAATTTTATTGCACTGAGCATTCAGGCACGCACGCACCGCTGATTACCAGTATACATTAAATAAAGTTGTTTGTACACATTGTCTTACCACATATAGGCAGTCTTATTATTCTAATTACTCTAATTAGTGCATTGAAATGTTTTCTACTTGATTTGAGGAGACAGTGATTAGTTCTATTACTTCTTTTAACTC